GTTGCGTGGGGTTGGTGTGACCCAAGGGCAGGACCCGGCACTTGGCCTTGTTGAACCTCATACAGTTGGCCTCAGCCCATCGATGCAGCCTGTCCAGATCCCTCTGCAGAGCCTTCCTAGCCTCGAGCAGATCAACACTCCTTCCCAGTGTGGTGTCATCTGCAAACTGACTGAGGGAGCACTCAATCCCCTCATCCAGACCATTGATAGAGATGTCAAACAAGACCCAACACTGAGCCCTGGGGACACCACTGTTGACCGGCCGCCAGCTGGGTTTAACTCCATTCCCCACCGCTCTCTGGTCTCTGCCATCCAGACGGTTTTGTTTAAATAAGGACTTTTTTTATCAGTGAGAGACCGAGTGCCTCAAGTCTGGAATCGCCAGAGGTCGGCATTTGTGCGCTGGCAAGTAAAGTGTGGTAGATTTTTTAATACCCATATGAGATGGAGCAGCGGGACATGGGACCTGGAGAGGATCAGATGGCCTGAAACGCTGCGTCTTGCACGTGATCCCGGATGAGGCAGAGCTGTGGCAGCTGCTTCCCCCCCCCCGCCGTGTCTCCATAAGGCAGTTCCCCGCTCCCCTTGGCAGAGACGCCCTCTGCGAGCGTCACAGCCTGCGAGGGGCTTGAGGAAAGGCACAAATTCCTTTTGAGGAGCTGCACGCTCCAAAAGCTGCATCTGCAAACTGAGCTCCCTTTCCACCAGCTCGCCCCAGCTATCGTGCACACCCCCCCCTGGGATCTTAGGGTACCTTCCTCAGCCTCCCTCTGCCCCTCCATCTCTTCATTCTTTCTTCTTCTGTCTCATCACGTGTGATGAGGAGCTCTGGAGCTTACAATGTGTGAGAGGAACCGGGGTGTTGTCAGGGCTGTGTAAAATCAAACCCTGCTGGGAAAAGCAGAACTTCTGTTGCTATTTCCTACTTATTTTAGGTTATTTGCAACAATGTGTGTTTAAATGATGCCATTTGAAAAAGAGAAGTAAGATGGCAAATACTATAGGTCGGAATGTCCTGCTTTGGTCGTGTTCAAGGTCAGAGGGGGATGTTTCTGTCGGGCAGGTGGTCTTTCTTAGGGCCAGACCGCGGGCCGGAAAGGCCGGCTTTCCTTAACGACCCGCAGACAAAGAGGAAAGCGGCCTGTTCTGTCTGAGCAGAAAACACAGCAATAAATGGGGAGAAATCTCAGATCCTCTCCACACGCAGCCCTTATG